TCTTGAAGTTTAACACATGTCCGTGAAATTCTCGTGAGAACAGGCGTTTGCCAATTACGTTGTCCAAACATCGGTCACCTTGAGTGACAGGCCACTTGATAGCTAGATTGATCTGCTAGGTACCTCAGAGGCGTGGCTTAGGTCATCTTCTGGAGGGTTGGGTTGAACCTAGAAAGAGGGAGGAGTTTAATTTGGACAGTAGATAGATACTTATACTACTAGCTCTGGAACTCATTCACATCGCAGCCTGCCGGCTAACAAACACAGGTCGACGTAAAGGTAATTTTACTGTCTGATTCTGGTTTGGCGATTGATGGACAGTTCCCAGGTATGAGTAAATATTATTTTCAATCTTTTATACATAGGTTAGGGAATTAGCTAAAGCCTATTCTACCTTTTCTAATTTGTCTGCACATTTTGCTTGAAATAGTTCTTTGTGAGTATTCAGTATCTCCGTTAGGAAACTGCTAAACCATTCCTATTTCTTGAATGTGTGTGTCACATGTTTTTCAGTGTGTGTTTTCATGTTTATAAAATAAGACTTGAAATTATAATGTTTCAAACATAAACCAAAACATGAGTTTGGACTCGGGGAAATTATGCCAAAATATGTGCAGGGATGCTGCTACGTTTTGTGTGCCCACCATGTGCTCACTTAATGTGTTCACCTAAACAGGGGATTTATAACCCCAGGGGAAGAATGATGGGTGTACAGTATTTACTGTCGCTGAAAGATAATATTCAGGACAGCGTGCATGTATAAAATGTTTTGCTTGTTCAGCACATAACCTGCGCCACAAGTTTACGTCAAATCAATGTCAGCCAGTTGGAAGTCTGAGTGATGACGGACAACAGACTTAGAAAGTCAACTATCATGACAGAGCATGAGAGGGAAGGCAGGATATTTGACGTCCATGTAAGACAAAAGACCTTCAGACTAGACTGGAGAGAATGTTGAATATGAGGAGGAGTGATGGGATATATTTTATTATTATATGTTATATTAATTGATACATGTATTCTTAGTGTAAGTCAAGATACTACGCGTATGTGTTTGTTTCCATGATTACAGCGCCCATGTGACGATCAATCCATGAAGGAGACTGCGAGGTGGAGATGAAGTGGAGAATAAGCTGAAACAGGCAGAAAACAGGCAGGGAAGAGGTGGACAAGCTTGACAGTGCCTCATGTCTGTCAGAAGCTTATAAGTTAAGTTAACATCTTTTGCGTTAACATATCACCATCATCACACCACTCTAAACGCCGGAGCTGTTTTCTCGCTGAAGCATCTCATCACTATCATAACTTTGGCCAGTCACTGTTTGTGTAAACACAACAAACTGGGCATGTCATTTAACTGATTGTTAGTAAATAAAGCTATATGTCAAGTTTTTTACTACATCGTTTGTTAAATTCCAAGTGTATTCAGTCTTACATGTTTAACTAAACTGATAGATAGAAGTACATTTGGTGGGGGCTCAAATAATAACGGGAGAAGGTGGGACGGAGGAATCATTTGCCCTGTCTAATAATTCATTCAGTATAATGCTATAGACATCTAAAATTCCTTGCCTTCTCTTGTGGGTACCAAGTGCAGCTAATGTTAATGTACTTAACGAGCCAATAGGGCTGTTTTCTTGGATTTTCAGGACTTTGTCTGAGAGCAACATAGCTCGGATTTTAGTCAGTTAATCTGGTGGAGGAAATGTGTTGATAGGAAAATCCCTACTCAACATATAAAACATTAAATCCACCGCGTCACGTCACAGACACACACACACACACACACACACACACACACACACACACACATATATATATATATATATATATATATATATATATATATATATATATATATATATATATAAAACTTTCCTCCAGAGTTTACAGCCAGTGAACGCGAAGAATATATATATAAAAAATTTTGCGTTCACCAGCTGTACACTTTGGCGGAAAGTTCTGGTTGTTCGTTTCGTCCACTTCTAAACTGCAGTTTTCTTCTTCTGGGTTTATCCGATAATGTAATGCGTTGTGACCATTTACAGCATGGTTGCGATATTTGCGCCTTTCAGTCTACACATCCAACTTCTGCAGGTTTGTTGACCGGTTAAATTTCACGGGGCTCTATTTCCATTGTTTGGTAAATGCCTTATATTGTATGGTATCAACCGAGCAACTGACATTTTTTTTCGACACCCCAGCTTTACCGAAGATCTGACGTGTTCCTCTATACATTAGAGGAACAGTGAGGCAACTCAATTCTTCTTCTTCTTCCGCTGCTGCTATAATTTTGTTAAAAGATGTGGTTGAATAAGAATGACGGTTTACAAATAGATGTCTAAAACGCTGTTTAAAATGACAAACTGACGTTATCGCACGACACGTTTGACGTTAAAAATCGCACTACCTGGCAGGCGTTTTTCACAAGTCACGTGACAATCTAGGTCAAACAAACCGGAATCCATCTCCAACAAGCAGGTAGCTATGGTGGCGGTAGTCTACTGCTAGTGTCTTCACTTGTCTGTTACTTTGTAGTGTTTAGCTGGCAGATAAGTACATCTACAAGTGGGTACTTATTTCAAGAACGTGATGTTTTATGTTGCGATAAGTATTTATCAATCAGCAAAGCAGTTATCAGACTGTGTGACTATGAGTATAATTTTTGGGATGCTTCCAAAACAGTAGACTACACTATAGCTATGACTATGACTATACTAGATTCTGTTCACTCATACTTAGCTGACTCACTCAGTATTTATTTATACTTATATGACATGACTGTTTTGTGAGGTAGCGGGAGTCCTTCTATTACCATTCTGTTAAAATTTGTGTAAACTTAATTTTTATTATTAAATGTCGTTCTTGAAGTTCTGATGATACACATTATGAGTAAGATAAGGGACCTGAACTTGACGAGCTTTTGAGGGGGTTTTCTGTCAAGGATGCCCAAAGGCCTAGTGCCAAAGAGTTAAAGGATATTAATAGTTAAAAAGGTGGGTTTACTCAAGTAGTCTCTATACTGTTGAAAGGATGGCAGGGTTGCGTAGGAGTGAGACTAAGCAAGATAGTTTATTACCCGGTCCCGTTCTGTTTAAACAAACCTAGAGGTTATCTGCTGTGATAGATAAGGCAGCTTATTTTATAAAGAAAGACCAAGATGTAAGACCCAGGTAGTTGAAGGCTTAACAGTAGTTAGGGTGTGTGGTTTGGTGATTCATTTTGGTGATTTTGCAATACTGCCAAGATATTTATGAATTCTCATAGTTGACTTATAATATTTAGAATCTGGTGGATTGTACAAGTATATCGTAGTAGTAGTAAAACAGTTTTAGGGATACATTATATGTTTTTTTTGGTTTATTCTGTTTTGTCTAATAAAAAAAAACCATTAAGTGCAATATTGTTAATGATAAACTATTTATCTGAATAAACTCATACACTTTTATTATATGTACATAACTATATTAATACGATTTTGTTCCATATGATTTTAACCTGCTAGTAGTTTTACATATTCACGTCATCTTCAGGACTAGTCATGTATTAGTTGAAAATAAAAGAGACTTTTTTCCATGCCTTGTGAATTCTCACCACCTCGCCCACCCGTGCCGATTGGTGTGTTGACCGGTATTTTACAGACCAATCGGCACTGGTGGGCAATGTGGCGAGGATCACACCAACCACCTTTACCTCCCAGGACTATTACCTGTTGAGTTGAGTCAAGTCAAGAGTTGACATCACAGCACTCGGGGCATTCCCATGCATGCTCCGTCCTCATCTTCAGCAGCCAGCGCAGAGTTCCAATACTGATGGTACCGGTCACAATCTGGTTTTATGTCTATCTAGCCAGATGTCTCATTCTGTCCAAGCCATAATAATCTTTTATTTCTACTGATTCCTTGCTTGTTCCCAAAGGGCCTTGACCACATTTGCCTTGTCTTGTATCAATTCACCACCCAGTGGTGAAGATAACTTTTACATTATAACTATTTAAAACTTGGGAGCCAAGGTCATTTTTGAAAAAAAAATTCTTGCACCACCCGGATTTGAATCCATGACCTTCGGATCCTCAGGCGAGTTCTGTTGATACACCGCAGAGGTTCTTAACAGAGACTGACAGTTAACTTGTTCCTTCGTGTCTTGATTCATTAAATAGGTGCATTGTATAGATTTCTATGTCAGAAGAATTTACAGATCTCTAAAAATGTGAACTTTATTTTAAATATGAGCAGATGGTGACCTTAATCTACATTTGCATCTCCAACAACACAGCCTCATAGATTATTTAAATGTTTTCTTAGTACCGATTTTTATAATTTAATTATCTAGATCTGGCAAACCCCATGTTGCCTTGTGAATCTTTTCTTGCATGTGGGAAAAATGCTTTATGCTTTCCTTTGTGACATATTGATTCAGTGTTCGAATATTGGCGGCATATCTCTGTTTAACTTCATTACCTAAGATGTGTTTCCTCATAATCTTTTCATAACATCCCACCCCTACTCCCACTTTCCAGTTTGTTAGTGCTTATCTTATCCTGTCTTGGCGTTTTGTCACCATTTTGATTATCTCTCTCAACTGATTTATCTTGACTATTTATTGGTAGAATAGCTCAAGCAAAGGCAGCATTTTACAAAATAGAGAATATTTTATGCAATCTTTCTTTGTCAATTGAGACGAGCAAGAGAATTCTTTAAAAAGCTATACAGATCCTATCTTGATATACAGAGGTGAATCATGGACGGTTAATAGATTGCAAAGATTTGGTTTTATAGACGAATGATGAGAATTCCCTGGACTGATAAAAAGAGTAACGAGGGTTTCTTGAAAGAAACTGACTCACGAAGAAAACTGATTGCCCACATCAGAAACAGACTGCATTCTTTGGTCATGTAATGAGAAGGAGAAAATTGTTTTACTTGCCACCAGCTCAAGAAAAGATACCTTAAAAAAAAAGAACTTTTACTTGTTCATCCACAGACTGATACCAGCACATCATGGGAAAGTCCAGTTCTAGCAGCAGTAGCAGCAGCTGCTCGTCAGATGATGAAATGCGCCATCTACCCAAACACGAAAAGAAAATGCGCAAAAAATGGAAAAAAGGTTGCAGAAAGGTAATTAGTAACCGTTGCCAGTAATTAAAATATTACGGTAAATTATGCTACAAAATGTTTTTAATTATACAACATCTGCTAAAATCAAATGCCATGTTGCATAACTCCAAGATCACAGTATATAAAACACTGATAAAACCAGTTGTCGGCTCTGAGATCTAAAGTACAGCTGTAAAAGATGAATCCTCATTGCAAATTGTTGATACCAATCTTATGACGAAGCTTCATTGAAGATGCAAACAGTAGAAAAAGGAAAGCGAGAAACAAAAATTAGAAATTTATATGTTTAAATCACCGCTAATTACTAGCATGATGACAGCTAGTAAACTGCGGGGGTTTAGCATATAGAGAGAAGGACAGATAACAGAGAGACAGAAACTGCGGACACAGAAGAGATAAATAGAAGTAGACCATGATGTAGACTAAGAAGATAGTCGAGAGATAATAATTAAACAGACCTACAAACACTTGATGTCACCAACTCCAAAGAGAAGGCCAGTCACAGAGATGAACATAGGTGGGTTATATTTGCAGCAGCGAATGTAAAGAATTCGGACTGCTGAAAAAGAAACAGATTTAATCCAGTAATCTTCTTTTTCATATTCACTGGTTGTAAACTCCAGCAGCCAGCTCTGGTTGTTCATCCATTTCTGGACTCTAGTCCTGTTCCAGAACCTAAGTTTTGCATGTACATGTTCTACAGATCTGACTCATTTGTATGCAGACTGTTGGTTCCTTGCAGATGCACTCTGACTTTAAAGGAAGCTCCCAATTAGTTGACTCTTACGACATGCTTTTTGGGTAGGCAGTGAGTCTTTTCTTGTTTTCCCCACAATAAGGCCTCGGAACCCACACAGGGCAATCTAGTTATGAATGAGCAGATAAAAAAACCTAGAATATCCTTTGCCCAAAGCTCACAGCGCCAAAGAGGTATAGGAAGACCTAAAAGCAAATGGAGACGAGAATTAGAGACTGATGTGATTAAGATAGGGAGTGCATGGAGGTGAGTTGCAGGGGATGGCACAGGATAGGACATGTTGGTTAAGAGCTAATTTTTTTGGAGATAAAACACTGTTTAGGATAAAAATGAGTTAGAGATAGTTCAGTGGCAGAGACTGCCAAAAAAAGTGTGAGATATTACACCTTTTAGCGGGGATATGGTGGGGGGGGGGGGGGGGGGGGGGGGTCAGTAGCTGTTCTCCTCCCCAACACCCCTCAAAAATGATGCACATGGAGATATTAAGTCAAGAGCCCTGTTTACAACATTATAAGCATTGCACATTTAGTGTTAGACCCATATTTGTGTAGACCAATCAGCCCATGATTCTTCTTCACATTCACTAGCTGTAAACTCTGGCGGAAAGTTCTAGCTGTTTGTCCACTTCTGGACTTTAGTCTTTTTGCCAGAACTTGAATTTTGCCCGCGCATCCATTTTTACAGATCTGCCTGATTAGTGTGCAGGCTGTTGGTTACTCTGCTTCTCAGGCAGATTCACCCCCGACTTTGAAGGAAACATCTTAATTAGTCAACTTTTAGAACATGCTTCATTAGGAGGGTTGTGGGTCTCTGCATCACAACCCCACACCCCCCCCCCTTTTTTTTCCCAGTTGGACCCCAGAACCCACACGGGGAACACTTGTTGATTGATTTAGTCAACTTCAGACCTGCTGACTTCTCTTACCAGGACATTTTCTGGTACTCAGTTTAGCTTGGGTCGACCAGGCTCACAAGGAGTGCTGGTTTGGCATGTCATAGAGCAGAAATCACCAAGGAGATGATTCTCAAGGAGGGTTAAGAAAACACACGCACAAAAACAGGCAGACAAAATAAAGAAGCACTGAAATAGTTCATGTAAAAATTAGTATAATCGGAAAAAGGAACTAGAGACAGATATGAATAAACTGTGGGGGCATGGAGTGGGCTGATAAATAAGAACACTTGGTACAAGTATGTTGAAGGTCTATGTTTTACTGGTGATAAGGGACAGGGGTGATAAAGGACAGAAGTAGATAAGTACATACAAGTTAAGTTAAAAATAGTAATAAGCAGTGTTATTCTTTACAAGATAGCTTTACTATTATAGATGTCTTATTTGAACATGCTAAGTAGCATTAACAAACTCAACAGGAAAGAACAAACATCAATTTTTAGACTTAGGACTGGACACTGTGGTCTTCAAGCACACCTGTACAGGATAGGCATAAAAGAATCTGCTGCCTGTGATTGTGGAGCAGAAAGGCAGACCCCTGAGCACATACTGCAGGACTGCCCTAACCTCTCCCAGCGAAAACCGTAGGTCTGGCCCAAGGGAGCCAGATTGCAAGAGAAGCTATGGGGGACCGGTGGCGACCTTAAACGCACAATCCTATTTGTGACCCAGATGGGACTCAGTGTTTAGCATGACTGATGTCGAACGCAGAAGAAGACGAACAGGCTAAGTTCAACATGCAGAAGATATAACGTGAAAATAAATTCTAAAAAAAAAGTAATACAAGGTCAGCAGAATTCCTAGTCAGCTACATATCGGGTTGAATGGTACCTATCTGAAGCAAGTTTAAGAATTTTTATATCTAGGAAGTATATTCTCGGAAAACAGAAGAAAGAGAAACAAAATGCCAATGAGCCAGTGCACTTATATACCAACTGACACCGTTATTAAGACATCCAAACATCATTATGAGCGCCAAGAAACAGATAATAAACAGCATATTCATACCAACACTGTGCTACCTGTGCCAGACTTGGACATTATCAGAGGCTAACCTTTTAAAATGAACATCTGTGAATTTAGATGCCTGAGAAAAGCAGCCAACTTAACCACCCAAGACACAGTTAAAAATGATATTATCAGACAGACTGTAGGAACAACACCATGCAGTAAATGCATTGAGAAACAGAAGATCAAATTGTTTGGTCTTCTAATAAGAATGAAGGTAGAACAACTACCAAGCAGGTGCTACACATGAGAAGATCTGAAGTAAAAGTAAGAGGACGCCCTAGGAGGATACGGATTGATGACATTGCAGAGCTTCTTCATCGACATAGAATGACAATATATCTATTGCTGCCCATCAAGCAATGGATTGCAAACTGTTCCTTCCCACAACGTGTAACCACAGAAATGGACATTGATGATATAATGACGATGATAGAAAGTCTTGGAAATAAATGACAGTAAAATCCATTTAATCTTGGTCTTTTGTGAGAAAGTCAACAAAATCAGTTTTGACAGCTTTTATGAAACAAAACATAAGTAATTTTAGAATTTATAGTTTGTATAATAATGCGAAGAATTAATGTTTTACCCAAGAAAATTACAATTAGTCATGCATTTTACACATTAATTCATGGTTTAATATAAAGAAATTTTTGTCCACTTTATTCAGGGAAGGATACCTTGTGGCCAAATGCCTGTAAGTATGTGTCAGGAACTGTGTTTTTATTTTCATGTGCCCTGCAGAACATTCCATCAGTTCCGTCAATGCCATGATGTTTTCCTCCAGAAGATTATGTCCATCACTGTTCTTTCCAGACCACCATGGCACATCGCATGTCCAAAATATCTCAGCTTTCAGGAGAGGATGCTGTTTACGAGCCAGTTCTCTTTGACTTTTCTTGATGCCAGAGAGCAACACACTGTAAATGGTTCTGTCTGTTTCACAGAAATCTCAAATGTGCAGAATATTTTGTTTACTCCTGGAAGGCTGACCTGGTCAACAAATACCTAAAAGAGTCAAATATGTTGGTAAAAAATTAAAGCATAATTGCTTGTCTGTAAACAGGCGCATTGTAATTAGCTACAAAGAAAAAATATTGGGAGAACAAAGAGCAGGATGCCTTTGTTGATGGCTTGATTTAAGTTTGTTTATCCTCTTTAATTAGCCAGTCTTCTTTGTTTATTACTCTTTAATTAACCACTCTTCTTTGTATTTTACTCATGTACTTACTACACAATATTCTTCGTCTTTTACTCTTGTACTTTTTGAACTTTGTATTTTTTTGTACTCTTGAATTAATCTGTATTCTTTATGTTGTACTCTTGAATTAACCAGTCTTCTTTGTATTTACTCTTGTACTACACAATCTTCTTTGTGTTTTACTCTTGAACTAACCAATCTTCTGTGTATTGTACTCTTGAATAAACCTTTGTTCTGAATTACCCAATCTTTGTGGTTTCTCTTGTATTAACCAATCTTCTTTGTATTGTACTCTTTAAGTAACCAATCTTCTTTGTATTGTACTCTTTAAGTAACCAATCTTCTTTGAATTGTACTCTTGAATTAACCAATCTTCTTTGTATTGTACTCTTGAATTAACCAATCTTCTTTGTATTTTACTCTTGTACTAAACAATTGTCTTTGTATTTTACATTTGGACTAACCAATCTTCTTTGTATTTTACTCTTGTACTAAACAATTGTCTTTGTATTTTACTCTTGGACTAACCAGTCTTCTTTGTGTTTTACACTTAAACTAACCAGTCTTCTTTGTATTGTAGTCTGGAATTAACCAGTCTTCTTTATTTTTAACTCTGGAATCAGTCAGTTTTCTTCTGTGTTCTCAGCCATGGCAAGGAGGACCACAGTGGTGTCCACCAGCCGGATTAGGCAAACATGGAAAACATGGCAAACATGGAAAACATGGCTACCAGACTGGCTACCCACAAGGAGCATACGGCGCAGGCCATGTTCCTGGAGCCTACCCTACAGGACATGTACCAGGAGCCTACCCCCAGGGACACGTTCCAGGTGCCTACCCACAGGGACACATGCCGGGTGCTTACCCTCAGGGGCACATGCCTGGAGCCTACCCACCTGCTGGGGGGCCAGGAGCCTATCCTAACCCTGGCTACCCCGGAAGCTACCCGGCTGGGCCGAGTCCTTATCCTGGACAGCCAGGCTATGGGGCGCCTGGTTACCCTGGTGGTGCGCCTTATGCTGCAGGTGGTGTCCCATATGGTGCTGGAGGTGCTCCCACTGGGCCATTCCAAGGTATGTAGTCATGGTGCTACACTGTGTCGTCTAGTGTTGGTACTGCTATATGTCCTCTAGTGTTGGTACTGCTATATGTCCTCTAGTGTTGGTACTGCTATATGTCCTCTAGTGTTGGTACTGCTATATGTCCTCTAATTTTAATACTACAATAGGTCCTCTAATGTTAGTATTATTGTATGTCCTTTAAAAATTGAAACTGCTGTGTGTCCTCTAATGTTGGTACTGCTGTATGTCCTCTAATGTTGGTACTGCTGTATGTCCTCTAATGTTGGTACTGCTGTATGTCCTCTAATGTTGGTACTGCTGTATGTCCTCTAATGTTAGTATTACTATCTGTCCTCTAATGTTGGTACTAATACATGTCCTCTAGTGTTGGTACTACTACATGTCCTCTAATGTTGGTACTGCTATATGTCCTCTAGTGTTGGTACTGCTATATGTCCTCTAATGATGTTACTGTTACATGTCCTCTAGTGTTGGTACTGCTATATGTCCTCTAGTGTTGGTACTGCTATATGTCCTCTAATGTTGGTACTGCTATATGTCCTCTAGTGTTGGTACTGCTATATGTCCTCTAGTGTTGGTACTGCTATATGTCCTCTAATGTTGGTACTGCTATATGTCCTCTACTGTTGGTACTGCTATATGTCCTCTAATTTTGGTACTGCTATATGTCCTCTAATGTTGGTACTGCTATGTGTCCTCTAATTTTAGTACTGCTACGTGTCCTCTAATGTTGGTACTGCTATATGTCCTCTAATGTTGGTACTGCTATATGTCCTCTAATTTTAGTACTGCTACGTGTCCTCTAATGGTGATACTGTTATATGTCTATAATGTTAGTACTACTATGTGTCCTCTAATGGTGATACTGTTATATGTCTATAATGTTAGTACTGCTACGTGTCCTCTAATGGTGATACTGTTATATGTCTATAATGTTAGTACTGCTATGTGTCCTCTAATGGTGATACTGTTATATGTCCTCTAATTTTAGTACTGCTACGTGTCCTCTAATGGTGATACTGTTATATGTCTATAATGTTAGTACTACTATGTGTCCTCTAATGGTGATACTGTTATATGTCTATAATGTTAGTACTGCTACGTGTCCTCTAATGGTGATACTGTTATATGTCTATAATGTTAGTACTGCTACGTGTCCTCTAATGGTGATACTGTTATATGTCTATAATGTTAGTACTGCTATGTGTCCTCTAATGGTGATACTGTTATATGTCCTCTAATTTTAGTACTGCTACGTGTCCTCTAATGGTGATACTGTTATATGTCTATAATGTTGGTACTGCTATGTGTCCTCTAATGTTAATACTGTTAGATGGCCTCCAGTGTTGGTACTGCTATATGTCCGGTAGTGTTGGTACTGCTATATGTCCTGTAATGTTGGTACTGCTATATGTCCGGTAGTGTTGGTACTGCTATATGTCCTGTAATGTTGGTACTGCTATATGTCCTGTAGTGTTGGTACTGCTATATGTCTGTAAGTTGGTACTGCCTCATGTCCTCTAATGTTGGTACTGCTATATGTCCTCTAATGTTGGTACTGCTATATGTCCTGTAGTGTTGGTACTGCTATTTGTCCTGTAGTGTTGGTACTGCTATATGTCCGGTAGTGTTGGTACTGCTATATGTCTGTAATGTTGGTACTGCCTCATTTCCTCTAATGTTGGTACTGCTATATGTCCGGTAGTGTTGGTACTGCTATATGTTTGTAATGTTGGTACTGCCTCATGTCCTCTAATGTTGGTACTGCTGTATGTCCTGTAGTGTTGGTACTGCTATATGTCTGTAAGTTGGTACTGCCTCATGTCCTCTAATGTTGGTACTGCTGTATGTCCTGTAGTGTTGGTACTGCTATATGTCCTGTAGTGTTGGTACTGCTGTATGTCTGTAATGTTGGTACTGCTATATGTCTGTAAGTTGGTACTGCTGCATGTCCTCTAATGTTGGTACTGCTGTATGTCCTGTAGTGTTGGTACTGCTATTTGTCCTGTAGTGTTGGTACTGCTGTATGTCCTCTAGTGTTCCTACTGATATATGTCTGTAATGTTGGTACTGCTATACGTCTGTAATGTTGGTACTGCTATGTGTCCTGTAGTGTTGGTACTACTACATGTCCTCTAATGTTGGTACTACTACATGTCCTCTCATGTTGGTACTGCTGTATGTCCTCTAGTGTTGGTAAAGCTACATGTCCTCTAATGTTGGTACTACTACATGTCCTCTCATGTTGGTACTGCTGTATGTCCTCTAGTGTTGGTACTGCTACTTGTCCTCTAGTGTTAGTACTACTACATGTCCTCTAATGTTGATACTGCTGTGTGTCCTCTAGTGTTGATACTGCTGTATGTCCTCTAGTGTTGATACTGCTGTGTGTCCTCTAGTGTTGATACTGCTGTATGTCCTCTAGTGTTGATACTGCTGTGTGTCCTCTAGTGTTGATACTGCTGTGTGTCCTCTAGTGTTGATACTGCTGTATGTCCTCTAGTGTTGATACTGCTGTATGTCCTCTAGTGTTGATACTGCTGTATGTCCTCTAGTGTTGATACTGCTGTATGTCCTCTAGTGTTGATACTGCTGTGTGTCCTCTAGTGTTGGTACTGCTGTGTGTCCTCTAGTGTTGGTGCTGCTGTGTGTCCTCTAGTGTTGGTACTGCTACGTGTCCTCTAGTGTTGGTACTGCTACGTGTCCTCTAGTGTTGGTACTGCTACGTGTCCTCTTGTGTTGGTACTGCTACGTGTCCTCTTGTGTTATTATTGCTGCATGTCTTTTAGTATAATTATTGCTACATGTCATCTATTGTTATTAATGCTACATGTACTCTATTGTTATTACTGCTACATGTACTCTATTGTTATTACTGCTACATGTGTCTTTTAGTGTTGGTAATGCTGTATGTCCTTTAGTGTTGGTACTGCTGTAATACTGAGCATTTTGTTCTGTCAACAGCCCCACAAGGAGCTTATCCTCCCCGTGAGTATATTTATGGTGTATTTATTTTTCGACACATTTTAAATCATGACACAAAATGAAATGTTTAGAGGCCCCATTTTGGTAAAGGGGAGGAATACACCTACTGGCCCTTAGCAAGCATGTTTGTGCCTAATTAAGGATTTGCTGAAATTGGATGTGTTGGACTGGACGCTGAAAACCACAAAACACAACATGCAACCCACTTCTTTGAGGGCAAACACAGAAGAAGAAGAAGGAACTTGTAGTTTCTATACTCCTTTTTTTAAATCTGAAGTAAAACTCCCTCTTGTCTTTAATTCCAGCTGTGAATTTGAGTGATTATATTTTCCATTGGATTGCGCCCCCCCCCCCCCCCCCCCCCCCCCCCCCCCCCCCCCCCCCCTCCCTCACACCATAGTGTTCACTTCATATCAGTGAGCCAGAGTAACCTAATTCCTGGTTTGCTTGTCTAGTGGTTAGGTCACTTATCTGGTGTCTGGTTCACTTTTATGGTGGCTAGCATTCTTGTCTAGTGTCTAGCTGACTTGAATCTTGGTTAGCACACCTGTCTAGTATCTAGCACACTTGTCTGATGGCTAGCACACTTGCATGGTGGTTAGCACACCTGTCTAGTAATTAGCACACGTTAGGTGGTTAGCTCACTTGTCTGGTGGTTAGCACATTTATCTGGTGGTTAACACACTTGTCTGATGGCTAGCAAGCTAGTACGGTGGCTAACTTGATTGTTTGGTGGCTAGCACACTTGTCCGGTGGTTAGTACACTTGTCTAGTGGTTACCTCTCTTATCTGGTGTCTAGTTCACTGTTATGGTGATTAGCACACTTGTCTAGCTCACATGTGTGGTAGTTAGCACACTTGTCTAATGTATAGCCCACTTGTATAGTGGTTAGCATACTTGTCATTTTCCGGATGGTTAGCATATTTGCCTAATAGGTGGCACACCTACCTAATTGTTAAATGCTAATGTGTTCAAATCCTCATCAAGGTTGACATTGTGAGAAAAAAAAACAAATTTGCGCTGAGCAACTCACCATGTGTTGATTGATATCTCCTTACATGAAATCATGAAATCCTTTTCTTAGCTCTTCAATGTCCTCTCCAGTTGTTACATTCTTAACTCAACCCCAGTTGTTTTCTGACTGTTTAGTAAGGCTATATTATTTGATCTCTATTATGTGCAGCATTTATTAATTTTAAGTAACAGCTGATTCTATTTATTTGTGACTGAAAGAGTTAAAAACCGATCTGAGCTACCACATCAGCCTAGACTATATCAGGTACAAGGATATTTTATGGGAGGCAAAGGTGGCTGACATGAAAATAACCAGTTCGCCGATCAAGTGCCAATTTGATCTATAAGAATATGGGACTGAAATAACTACATCGGCCGTGCACTCAAAAATTATAAGACGAGAGTCCCCCATCAAACCCTCATATGGACACCGGAAGGGACAAGAAAACGGGGAAGACCAAGAGAGGCTACTTAGAATCATCTCAGGGAAGGCTCAGCCATGCGCCTGACAAACATCCAGGACCTAAAGTAGGTGGCAGTAAGACGTCAGACATGGAGATCTATGACCTCTGCCCTATGTGCCGCCCAAGGCCCAAGAGGAGAGACTAACCAACTGGAATTATTTTACTCACTTTGTCTCATTCTAATCTAGATCCTTACGGGGCTGTAGTGTTCTTATAGGTCACCCTCTGACTAACAGATAATCAGCTTTAGTTTCATAATGGATCAAAGAAAATCACTTGTGTGGACAAACAACAGTTTCACTGGCAGCTGGAGATCAGCCTAAGATATGGAATGAAAGTTAAACTCATTCAAAAACAAACGCCCGAGACAAAATTATGAACATAAAATGGGATGAATTCAAGAGAAGCGAAGAAATAAGAGAACCACTAGCATTATCAGTTATAAGACAGAGAAGATGTTGCTGTATGGGACACATTCAGAGAAGAGACGAACAGAAAAATCACCAGACAGGCACTGAAATGGGAAATACAGAGATTGAGAAAACGAGGATGTCCAAGAGGAACCCTAAGGGGAACATTGATAGGAGAAGCCAAAGGTGCTAGACAGGAGTCCCTCCATCATAGCAAAGTGATTGCACAGGGTGGAACAGAAAAGACAAATAGACTGCAAGCTCTATAAAAAAAAAAAGATAAAAAGGTAAAGTTAGGAGATGTGAACCAGCATCATTGCACACGGTTATAAACCATAAGTGCTCTGCCAACAGTACGGACAGCTGATAAGAAACTGTCCGCCTGTGTTGCCTTCCACACGCAACTCCGTAGCTACAGCGACATTCCTCCATTTACCCCAGAGTACTCATTACCTAGAGGCTTGGTGAACCCCAGGAACCGCCCAGTTTTGAACACCGGCCATGGGCTGCAACTAGTCGCAGCTGGATTTGAAAGCCAGTTTTCTATCAACTGCGCTGATGCGCCCCCCTCCTGCGAGTGCTATGTGACATATAATGACACAGCAGGACAGTGAATGAATAATTGTCTCAAGCTGCAGAAAAAGGCCTTAACATTTCATCTCTTCCTGATCCGCTTGTATCTTGCGGTTTTGAGAGGAAATATCATTTGCCTGAAAGTGCCCGTTTGTGTGCTTTGTGTAAGCAAATTCCCACTTGGTCTTTACATCATTGTTTCCTGTAGTGTACTTACTATCTGTGGGCGACCAAGTTATATGGCCACATCACTTCACTTGTTGGTTTCTAATGAAATCAAGGACTGCTACTACCTCAAACTTCTTTTGGATTTCATCATTTCTGATGTCCCTCGTGTGGGTTCCAGGGCCCCATTGTGGGGTAAACAAGAATAGACCCACTGCCTCCCCAAAAGCATGTCGTAAGAGTTGACTAATTGTGGAGCTTCATTTAAAGTTAGAGTGCATCTGCCGGAGAGGCAAGGAACCAATAGTCTGTATTCAAGAGAGTGAGATCTGTAAAACTGATGCACACGCAACACTTAGGTTCTGGAGCAGGACTGCAGTTCAGTAGTGGACGAGCAATCAGAACTTTCCGCCAGAGTGTACAGCTGGTGAAAGCGAAGAAGAAGAAGAAGATCATTTCTGACTTTTTTTATATGTTGAGTGCTTTTCTTAAGAATCTCATTTCAACTAATTTTTTTTTGTAATAAAAGAAGATTGGTGAAAATATGATGTCATAGAGTGCTCTTTTAGTAGCTACTCCTCCAGTATGGGTTCTGGGGTAGGGTGGGGGAGGGAACAAACTGCACTCCTAACAAGCATGTCATAAAAGGCAACTTTTTAGGTGATAAACTCACTGCACTCCCTAACAAGCATGTCGTAAAAGGCAACTTATTAGGGGTCTTCCCTTTAGAGTCAGAGCACATCTACCTGAGAGGCGAGGAACCAACAGTCTGCATACAAATAAGCTAGATCCGTAAAGTGGGTGTGTACAAAAAGCTCAATTTCTGGAGAAGACTTAAGTCCAGAAGTGGACAAACAACCAGAACTTCCCATGGGAGTTTACTGCCAGTGAACGCTAAAAGAAAATGTCTGCTGATAACGGTTTTTGTTGCTCCTCAGTATTGGTGCTATTTGTGCAATAAGTTTATTACATCTGTTGTCAATCTCTTCTTCTGATTGGCTAGTTGATAGTATTATACCTTCTTGCCTAGTATATTTTCCAGTATCTCATCGGGTGCATTTATGCAGAGTTTAAGCAACTTGTAGTGAAGCACAAAAAAATGTATCGTCATGTCCGTGTCAGGATTATCTAACTTTAAAGCTGGAAAATGTTTTGAAAAATGTATTGTTTGTATTTACAGTATTTAAATTCATAATGTGAAAACATTGTTTTGAATAATGTGTTGTTTGTGAACGCATTATTCACATTTATACAGTGAAAACATAGTTTTCAATTTCTTATTTTTGTTTATTTCAGAATATCCTCGTTAGGATTTGAAGCACTTAAACAGTAGGACAGAAAATGTATGCAGCGATGCAAGAATGACTTATTATAATTTTTTTTTTTACTGAGCTTTTTTTCTGAACTCACTTTTCATACATACCTTAAATAGCATATCTTTGTGAGAGTGCAAGTGGAATTAACTATGCTGATGAGGTGTCAAGATCAGAAATCTGTTGATTTTCATGAAATAGTTATAACCTAAAATATTATGCAGCATTGTGGAAGAAAGGGGAAAACATTCTTGTTAGTGGATTTATTCGGTAGTTAATTATCAAGGGAAAACACTGTTGTTAGCGCCATCAACTAACTACCTGGTATAGATGAAGTAAGTGGTTAACATTTGGTGTCTATGGTTTATAGGCTATAAATGCAGTGTCATAAGTCCAGCATACCAGGTTCCATTCAGCTGCTGGTTATTTAGTAGCCTTTTGTTGAATTTGACTATGGAATGCAGATTTCCTAGTAAAACCACTAGCAGCCTGTATATAATGCTAGTGCTGGTTTATGATATCATTTAAAGGGTGTGCAACTAGGGGGAAAGGGTGTGCAACTAGGGGGAAAGGGTGTGCAACTAGGGGGAAAGGGTGTGCAACTAGGGGGAAAGGGTGTGCAACTAGGGGGAAAGGGTGTGCAACTAGGGGGAAAGGGTGTGCAACTAGGGGGAAAGGGTGTGCAACTAGGGGGGGAAAGGGTGAGCAACTAGGGGGAAAGGGTGTGCAACTAGGGGGAAAGGGTGTGCAACTAGGGCCAAGGATTGGACAGATTTGTTTCTTTAGTTGCATCTCTTTTTTTTTCTTTCCCAAGTTTATTCTCGTATTGAGCTTAAATAGTACATTGTTAATTCTTTAGTCAATATTTAATCCTTTCTGTATATGCATACAGATGTTACTCAGTCTGAATATTTCACAGTGAAAAATTACCCAGTTTTTGAAAGGAATATCTTTTGTGTATGTGTGCGCTCGCTCCATATTTATATATATTTTTTTAAATATAAGAATATTATTCGAATACATCTAGAGTTAAAAGTGTAAAATTTTCAGTTATGAAATATTTTATTGTTGCAGATATCATTCATACATTTTATATTGTTTCAATGCTTGATAGTGTCACCACAGAAGCTGATATATGTTTACAGCGCACAGTGATTAACTTTGTCATGTTTTTGTAAAGTTGTTTAAAGGCAAGAGGGTGGACTTCATTGCACCACGTGTAATCTCATTTAGCTTGATGTCTCTCTGCTGATCTGCTTTTGGTCCGCCTAGAATGTCTCACACAGCATGAATCTCCGTAGCTGCAGTAGTGACCCCCAGTTGTCCGTAAAAGAGTTTATAATATAGTGATGAAGACATGAAATGTCTATGATGAATCCTAAAATTTACTAGAAGAGATAGGATCAGGAAAGAAGTTTGGATGAAACCAGTAATAAACTAGGTCAAGAGACAACAGATCAGATTGTTAGGACACCTGTCGAGGCTAGCACCAGACAGTTCACAACAGAGAGCCCTATCACTTAGACAAAATGGAAGCAGGCCTGGAGGTCGACCACGCAAGCGATGGATAGATGTAATATTTGAGGTCATAAATAATTATAGCATCTGCATAGCACATACCAAAGATCATGCCCAATGCCTCTTTAGAACTTGACGCTGAAAGGCACCACAGGTCTCGAGAAGAAGACGGTGAAGACTGTACCTAAATGACAATGAAAGGGCAGAGAATGAAGTCGTTTGACTGTCTGGTGAGAGCAGCCAAACTATAAGATCTTCTTTAGAAGAACATCTGGGTGAAAGGCAAGAAGGAGACAAAGGAAAAGTTGGATAGGCAGCGTAGTGAGGTTCCACAAAAAGTTCAACTAAAGCATCACTCGAGAAGCGCAAAACAAATACAGAAAACCACAGCACTGTACTACAATCAGCTAACAGTGTGAAGACAAAAGAAGAAGAAGATGGTAAAGACAATTTTGTGTGAGTGTTGCATATGGTATAGAGAAACATATTGTGAATATCTGTGACGGTATGTGCTAATATTGTTAAAAACTAAATTAAAAAATGGTTTGGAAAATTAATTAGCTACTGACGTAAGAGCACATAACCTAAAAAAAAAAAAAAAAAAAAAAAAGACCATCCGGATATTGAATCAGAGGAAGAATGAGAAAAAAGTGGTGAATAATGTCAAGGATATACTATACACACTGATATGACACAATAAAAGCAGCACATAGAGCTTGGAAAAGCAATTTTACACTCCCACAACGTCTGCATCAAATTAGATATGTGAATTGTGTAGCAAAACTTCACTTGCCTGTGTCTATACAATAGTTTAAAACTAGAAAGCTTTTTTGATAAAGCTTTGGTCCAGTTCTTTGCTTAGAAATAAAGCATTGGTTATGCAGTAAATAATACACAAGATGATTTGATGTGATAATGCTGTCAGTGTAATGTATGGATGTATGCAAGATCCACAGAAAGTGCCACCAAAACTTCAAGTCATGTACCTGCACATGGCGTTAACAGCCTTGTGGTACAGTTGAGGGTATACAACAACCTCTTTTAGAAAATGCTTGGCTGAAGTTGCAGTACTGGTTTTTGTTTCTTGACAAACTTCTGACAAAAAGTGCCTGAAGAGTCGAATTCTGCCCCACTGTCTTTCTGAGATGAGCTATACCATATACTGGCTGCACATGATGGTATTGTACTGTTGAGAGTAGCAATTTTATTATTTTACTTATTATTTGGAGTTTTTAGGATTGCTTTTTTTGTGTGGTAGTGCTTGCCTTGTTGCAAAAGATGATCATGTGTGGCTATTATATATCTGTATATATATATTTTGGTTCTGAGGCAGGGGTGGAAAACCTTTTTTCTTCTTTCTGGCTCAGGCCATTTGTGTATTTATAACATCACTCGTGGACCATATACAGAATTATCAACTTAAAAAACAAGTCTGCTATATTTGGGTAATCATTTAATTAAACTACTAATGTGATGACGGGGACTGCTTCTCTTTGATGATTTGTGATGTTTGCTGGTATCAGTGATGTTACTAGGGGGAAGGCAAGGTGGACATATAATCAGGCTGCTGCTGTCGAAACTGGAACTTTGCTGGATGCTGAAGAGGGTTGGGTCACATATGAGAATGTTGTGGGGTTGATTATTAACTCAGTGATGTTACTACTTGTAGCTGCTTATCTGGGTTTACTGCGGTCAATCTGCAAAACTGGACCAAATGATTTTGTCAGCTTTATATGGTCAGCAGGCTGGTAATTGCCAAAACCTATTCTAAAGAGTGGCATCATCTTCATGTGTGTTGTTTTTGATGGGTTGAAGTATCATTTACCTCACCTGTGATAACCAGTTTTTCTGTGTTTATGTTTGGTTCATGTATACAGCAAGCATGTCAATTATATTTTTTATTTATAAAATATCTTCTGCAACTTGCCTCTGAAGTTATTTGTTTTGTGTTTGGTTAAACGAAACAGATAAACTGACCAGCCTGCTCTTTTGTAAAAGAGATTAGCTTAGTTACGACAACCTTTTGTTTAGCTGATTAGCGCACTCAGTGTTTCTCAAACTTCTTAAAGCCACGACCCTTTAATACAGTTCCTTATGTTGTGGGGACCCTTTAATACAATTCTTTATGTTGTCGGGACCCTTTAATACAGTTCCTCATGTTGTGGTGACCATTGAATACAGTTCTTCATGTTGTGGCGACCCTTAATATAGTTTCTCTTGTTGTGGCGACCCTTTAATACATAAACCATAAAATTATTTTTGTTGCTTCTTCATAGCTCCAATCAATATGTGTTTTCCTGATGGTCTTAGGCGACCCTTGTGAAAAGGTCATTTGACCCACAATAGGGTTGCGACCCACGGGTTGAGAACCACTGCCTTAGCCAAATGTATTATCCTATTGATTTAACCCGCTGACTACCAAAGATGCCACATATTTTAGTGTAACACACACAATCTATACTAACGGACAATTCTTAACAATACACAACTGAAGCACATACAAGGTCTGACAATTAAGTAATGAGACTGATTTTATTATGGCCAAGACAAAAATGCCATCTATGGGCAAAGCATGGAATCTAAAGAGGCAACATTCATCTATGATCTGGAAACTTTTCATCGCTGCTTGATAAGCAGACAGCAAACAAGCCGCCATTTTGTTGACCGTGTCAGAGGTGCATCGTTACGTAATCAGCATGGAGCAAAAAAGCTAACATTAAATTCTTTTTAAAACTCAGAAAAAGCAACATTGAAACAGTTGAATTGATGCAACAAGTTTATAGGGATAATTGTTTATCTCGTGCACACATTTTCAGGTCGTATTCATGATTCAAAAATGATGTGGAAATGACCTGGACGTCAAATTTCTGTTCGTAACGATGATCTCATTGCAAAAGTCAGAGAATGGATACAATAAGATCATTGTTTTACTGTGAGGATGATGGCTGATGAGTCTGGTGTTAACAGAGAGACCATTCATAACATTTTAGTGCAAGATTTTGGCAAGAAAAAAAGGTTGCTTGCCAGTTTGTACCACATTTGTTGTCTGATGACCAAAAACATCAGCGGGTTGAGTACACAAGAGGCATCATCAAAACAAGAATTTTTGGCCCAAAAACAAGTGTGTGTTCTCAGCCTTCCACCATATTCTCCAGATTTGTCTTTTTGTGATTATTTTCTATTCCCAAAATTAAAGTTGCGATTGAAAGGATGAAAGGACGCTTCTTTAACAATATTAATGACATCCAAAGGGCCGTAACATCGACTTTAAGAGTCATAACAACAGAAGAACTACAGAGGTTGTTAGATCGGGCCACTTGCTGTATCAATGCACAAGGTGCTTACTTTGAATCAGATACAGGTTATATCTTCAACTGTTGATTTGCAGTAGATCATGACATGATAATTCAGTGATATTGATGAGCAGACGGGTGTCCACATGCTCTTCATCTTCTTCTGCCTTGTATCTCCCAATGGAGCATCCCCCAGTAATGTTTCCTACAAGATGTGGTAGCCAATCTTCTATCAATCCTTTCTATTTGCCTCCTATGGCATGCATGGTATCGGTTACAGTATTACTATCCTTTAATGTTACTTTATATTATCCCGACTGATGTCACTGCCTATGTTGCTGGGGAAAAAAATGCCATGAATCATGTTGCGTGTAGGGGGGAAAATCAGGAAGGGAATAAAGGAAAAAGATTTGGCAGCAAGGATAAGAACTAAGCGTCAGAGAAAAAGCACACTAAAGATATTTAATGGCGGCAACAATATTGAAATGTCATGCTCTAATTGTGAAATAATTTTCTCAATGCCGGCAGGTCTTGCTAGTCACAATGACCATCACCCTGGGGATTCCTATGTCTCTCCATAGCACAGTATAACACTATCATCTGGAAAGACAGAAAGATGCCAACAACAGCTGCACACTGGGACATTCCATGATTATCTATATCTGCAATGTTGTCTCCAGTATAAACTTCACTGTTTTTCGTAATTTACTCAGTGACTCGTAAAGTTTGGCTTCAACTTGTGTTTCTCTTGGCGAGAAGTTTTGCCCTGATATGTTGTATTGGGACAGTCGTGGAGGATGCGATCTGCTGTTTCAGGTGCCAATCAATATATCAGGGCAAAACTTCTGCTTCAACTTGTGTTTCTCTTGGCCAGAAGTTTTGCCCTGATATGTTGTATTGGGACAGTCGTGGAGGATGCGATCTGCTGTTTCAGGTGCCAATCAATATATCAGGGCAAAACTTCTGCTTCAACTTGTGTTTCTCTTGGCCAGAAGTTTTGCCCTGATATGTTGTATTGGGACAGTCTTGGAGGATGCGATCTGCTGTTTCAGGTGCCAATCAACATATGCACATCACTGATTCAGCAATCTTAATTCTGTGTACATATGGCTGCAAAGTTATCTGTGTCCTGTTCTAAGGTGTAGAATAATGACTTGCTCTGGTCTATGCATAATATGGTGATCATCTTCTGCCAGTTTTGGTGATCACTCCACAGTGGGATAGTATCCGCTGCATAGTTACCTTACACCAGTTGCTCAGTTTGGAAAGTAGTGTCCGTATACAAAATAAAGATATTAACCAGCACTGACCCACAAACTCTGTAGCTCTGGTATTCTCTACCACTTTTTGGACCTTTACAACACATATATATGTATGTATTTATCTAGAGTAGGTATGTCTGATTATTGTTTAAAAAATAAATATAAAAAACAAAAAAAACATCTTAAAGGATACAAGAGCAAAGATAAAAAAAATGACACTGCCGGTGCCCAAACACTACAAGATATAAGAGAACTGTTACAACAGAAACAGTAAGACACAATGAATAAACAAGTTATTCTCCGACAAGTAAGGCTTTAAAAATTGCATAGTTAAGATGGCATTTTGAAATACATATATTTATCATCATTAGCTGCCATGAAAACCCCCTCCCCTGTTGTTTCCAGGGTCCCAGTGTCAAGGTAAAACAACAGATCACTGTTGCTTAACCCTTTTGTTCCAAGAACTCTAATTTAAAAAATTTGGTGTTGACCCTGTTAGGATTTTAAAAAAAGATTTTACACAAGTCACTAATAAATTTGTTAAAAAATGTATTTATGAATATTTTAACATTATTTTTCAAAATAGATATATGAAGGAAGTAATCAATAAACATGAACGCGGTGAATGTTTACACTGAATATATCCTCACAGGGCATAAAAAACCAAATTGTATCAGGTGACTCATGTCCTGATCTCGTGACCTTCACCACTAAGGCTTGTGAGTAAAAATGAATTCATCTAGACTTTAAAAAAACATTCAGCACAAAGGAAAAATCCTCTAAATGCTATTGTTAGTTAATCTATTAACTTCCTGATCTATTAAACATTTGCTCAGGCACAAACTCAGCCAACTGCCTTAATTATCCATCTGGTAAACAGGTCACAATAGGCAAGCCAGAAAAGTGACATTCATGGGGAACTGGACCCAACTGGAAGTGTCGTTTTGTTTCCTCCAGTTTCTCAGTGCATGACATACAAGGCGAGAGTAAGCAATAGCAATAGGACATCTCAT